GTTTTTCTACATTTCAACTTCATGTCACAACATTGCAACTTCAACCTCAGGTGATCAGCTGACCGTGGACAAAATTTCAAAGCGTTGGTCAAGGGCCCATTTGAAACAACTGAAAAAGAGATGTAGACATTATGTGGGAATTTGGACAGCAGACAAACTTGAAGAAACACCAAGGCGGGAATACCAACGCAGGGATGTGGTGGTATTCAACCCACCACCCAGATTTAATGACGTCGTTGGTTGGCGCCTCAGTGTGTTTGGAAGCAACAAAAATATAGCCACCAGGAATAGTGTGACTAGAAGTCATGGTTTAGGTCTGCACGTAACTTTGGTTGGTCAGTGCGCTTGACGGTTTGGAGTACCGTGAGGCGGTGATAGATCCGGGGATGCTTTGATCAAGAGAATTGTGAACAGCTTAGCCAATCCTCGACCTGAATGCTGGCTGCGGATTGTTGTGATTAAAAGGAAAGAAAGAAGAACATACGTCCAAATAAAGAACAAGGAAAGGATGGCAGCGCTTCAACATTCAATGCCTTGTCTTAGCGCGCAAATCATATTCTCCCGTCCGCCTGGACGTGGAATAGACCCGATGCCGAACCTCCCGAAGTCTTTAATGATGCGGACCTTGCTCTTTCCTAACTGTGCGTGGGCTCCAACTTCAATTTATCAACATCGCCCTGGATCGTGCGCGTCAATCGTGTCGTCATGATTGGTGTCAAGTTATATAGATTTTTTGGATTGAGCCTTGAGCTGTCCATTGTACATGACCCTGTGCTAAGTGAGCGCTGATACTCAAACTTTGCCAGAACATGCCATTTTTGCCGCATCAATAATTGCTTGTCTTCAGCACCATTCAAGCTTCCTGGCATCGCTCTTGGATAGGGCTTGTCTTTCTCTTTCTTTTAATGCAGTCTTTCATGTTCATTTACATTCTCCCCTTTTGGCGCTGTTTTGTTATCATTCTTCATTTCAAGACTCTGAGCATTGACTGCATGCTTCTGTGCAACCACACAAGTGGGCCGCCAGGTTCTACCTTCTTGCTTCTATATAAGTGTTTGACATTGTCCAGGTATCGTTTCCGCGTTTCAGGGCTTGTTCAAAACTGCCTGAGTTTCTGAGAGAGCCTACCGAATCCAGCTGTTTGCAAAGCCTTATGTTAGTGTATCTCAATGATGATTTTCTCAAATCTTTACCTTTTCTCTACAACTTTATCAATCGGAAGGTTTTGATCATCGACCCTTTACTGTAAACACTATGCGCACGCGGCATTGCGGCATAGGCATATGATCCTGTACACACGTACCTTCAGGCTCTACCTTGGACTCCTTGGACTCTTGTGAGTCTATGGATCTCTGTGGTGTCATGACGCATGCAATCTAGAGATTCGTTCCTCCAACTCCTTCTCACTTCATGTGAATCATTGATCATACCATGCTATTTGCTCCTGCTTGGACTTGTTGCATCATCCCATGGGGCTCAGACCTGCGACGTCGTTTGCTTCCCTGGAACCCGTTCTTACCCCTAGTGCGGTTTGGTCGAGTGACTGCGGCAGCCGAGCAACTGCAGAGGCCACTCACCTTGTACATACAGTATAAATCAGTATACATCAGTATACAGTTTACATGACATACCATGAAGCTCATCAAGCCTCAACAGGCACGGCTCGGACCCTTGTGTTGCGAGGGCTTTGGATACCTATTTCTCGTCAACTGGCCGCCTGTTGTTTTTCACTGTTCTTCTCAACTTGTCAGTAATCTATGGTCCGTGGTACTCCGATGTTTGTTGGGCAGCAGCAACTATTCAGCCCAGACTCAAAGGGCTGCCCACACCTCCAGATCTTGTGATAAGGTTGAAATTTCTGGAATGTGTCAGTCATGATGATGAACCCTTCTTCCGCTGCACCCTCGTTTTCAAAGCGGGTACAAGCCCTGTCCTCGTTTCTGTCTTCCTGGCTTTGATTGATGGTTCTGAGACTGGTGCAGGAGCAGACTTTACAAGACTTCCAAGAGTACAGTGTGTACAGATCAAAAGAAAGGCAACCTGACACAAGTGAATTTCACCACAACGATCACTGAGAAAGACAGCAGACTGCTTGAAATCGCTGAGGAAATTCACTGCACATTGACAAAGCCACCACAAGACACCAAGTTCATTACGTCAAGAAATTGCAAGAATTCGCATTCAAAACCGTAGCCAAAGCTCAAGAAATCCCCATAGAGCGCCAAACGACAATGTCCAAGTTCTACCAATGTTGAACAAACTTTGGCCACAAAGCTATCGTCAACGATGTCCAAATTCAACAAAAGATTCCAACAGCCAGTGAGAATTGTGTTTCAAGCGCCAAGAAGGCACCCTCCTGGCCAAAGCTAGCAGTACAGCCTTTGGCTCAAGCAGGGTGGGCATATTCGGTAGTAACATGTGGTAAAGGTGTGCAAACAACATGGATCTGCAAGATACTGGACCAGAGTGTTTCGTTCTACATGTTTAAGGTTTGTCATTTTGTCATTATATAGTGAGGCGGCTGTGCGATAACCACTTGCAATTGTGATCCACTAGGGCTTGCATGTTTATAATATGCATGCGTCAGAGTATGGTCTAGTGGGCCCTGGGTTCAATCCCCTGGTGCAACACTAGGCGGACAGGGTGTGGGCCGTTAAGGCACAGAACATGTATGTATCATTCTATCAATCCATCGGCGTTCTGCATCAGTCAACAGAAAGGTTCGCAAGACTTGGATACACAGCTGATTGCAGATGTACTGTGTAGAACCCTTCATGATGTTTGGTTCAGGTGGCCGTGGCCGGAGACACAGTTGAAATCAAGAATGGTGGAACCTTGCACCCTGAATCTTGTGCAATGCTCGTGCAGCAAATTTCAGTCAGTCACGGTCAGGTCACGGCTACCTATCCATCATTGTCCATCAAAACTATACTATACATTTACGTTTTCGGACCTTCAGTGATTCAGGTACCTCAATGGCGAGGCTCAGGATGAGCCCTTCACCAATGAGGCTTTCTTGGGACTTACAGTAAATCAGACTTGGATACAGAAACGCAATGCTGTGAGAAGGCAGTTTCCCAAGTGTTCCCAATAGAATGCTTGGCTTTGATTCCGGAGGCAGCAAGATATGACTTTGGACCTGTCACCGTTCCGGAAGGGTGTGTGCTTGTTCTTGGTGACAACAGGACGGACAGCGACAAAGCAGGCAGACCATACACAGTTCCCCAAACAGTGTGGTAACACTAGGGGTTCTTATGGTATGGTTAAGGACGGGTGCCTGATCGAGGTGCTCGCATCGCCAGTGGCTAAGTCGCTGCTATTTACAGTACATTCACCTCGAGATCTTCGAAGTGCATTTCGACTGCGCAGGCTCGCAGAATTTGCTGGGCCCGAGCGGGTGCTCTTCGAGATCTCGTTGTGGTGCCTGGCAGGTGCAAGGGAAACCTCGTGCTTTGGTGGTCCAAAGTCGACTTTTCGTGACAGGCGCAGGAGATCGGAGCGCTTTGTGTCGATGAACAGAGGCTGTGGCAGGCACAGTACTTTGGACATGGTGCATGGTCTCCTGCACGCTCTGACTTCGTGGCAGGTGTAGTGAGTCGTGACTTTTGAACATGGGGCACGTTTTTCAGAAATCGGAGGAAGTCTCAAGCGAAAGCTGCGTTATGGCTCTTTGGATGTGTTCTTGCTGCAAGTCGCATTGACAGGGCTGCGCGATGTGAGTCTGTTTCGTGGTAGACGCCGCAGTACGGACCTTGAGGCGCCGAATTCCTGGCAAGCGTAGTGCTCCGCCCCAATCTTTTACTTCGAGCCTTCAGCATATCGCAAGGTGGCGCAGGTGTTTTGTCCAGATGTCATCAAAGATATCAAAGGAGGTTTCGATGAATACGTTTGAATCATGACTCTTTGTAATTAGAGAGGAGTTGCACATGGATGAGTGCACGCATAGAGAAATATGAGTGGTTTGGGGTTCGAAAGGGTGGTGGTCACCTGCCACAGCGCAGTCGCAATGGTGTGCTGCTGGTAGGTGTTCACCTGGCGTCACGCCACGCGAACTTTGTGAACCTTTGTAATAGTTGCAAACGGAACTGAGCTGTGAGTTTTGCTGTCAGGGCATGTCAGGGCTCTGTCAGTGGGAAATGGATTTCTGGAGAAGCTTTCGGTGGAACAGTAAACCGGTAAAACATATCGAGACGGTGTGATAACCCCGCGCAACATCATACCACATCAGAAGTCACCACCTAAACCTGCTGCAAACAACATGCATTGAAGAGCAAATATACGAAACATAGAAAACTGCAAAAACAAACTCGGACGCAAGAGTAAAAGACAAGGTTGCAGACCCAACACACCATCTCCAACTTCTCAAACATAGGGCGACGGTTTGCAATCTTCGGTTTTTTGTTTTAAAGTTTGCCATGCGCAGAAAAAACAAAGGGCGGTTTGCAGCTCTACAGTTGCAGCAATGGAACAGTCCAAGAGACAGTGCGGAGTTTAAGTGGAAGAACTGTAATTGAGCACAAGCGGACGAAATGCTGCAAGTGCAGCAAAGTCGGTCACCGGCAGAAGCAATGCAGAGCCGGAGAACCAGCAGCATCGTCAATGCCAACGGGGTTCAGCCAGTTGCAGTGGTGTGACGCGATTCGTGATGCAGTAGAGTGCAATTGTAGGGATGCGATGCTTGATTTATGACTTATGATTTTTGTGATGCAACGCAGATATGGAAAAAACATGACATATTTGGTAGTGCTGTGACGTACGGTGACCTGATGTGACCTGCGGTCGAGGGCCGCGTTGATAATGTGATGCTTGGTGGTATGCAATTTGAGACTCCCTTCGCTTGAGTCAAGCCCAAGGCTACAAATTACGGGAAGGCTTAGGGGCGCCTATAGGAGTCCTTTCTGTATCCCAAGACCCGAGCCATTCGAGAAGCAGGCGTGCGCGTGCTAAAGAAGCTTGGGGTTGGCCAAGGCTGCCACTCCAAACTGGTAGCGGAGCCCGCCATGAGCGAGGAGAGCAAGAAAGATGAGGGCCTGACGATAAAGTTCGATCGCGAAGGTTCAAGACCGGGCAAGGACTACGAGCGATGGTGCCGCTCGCGCAGGGCATACCTCAACGCACAAAAGGCAAAGGGCTTGGGCGGCGGTATTTTCTTTGCTAGATTGAAGGCCTTGCCGGGCTTTGGACTCGACTGGCATGGTTGATTGAGGGGCTTGGTGGGGAATGTGATATCCCAGACTTTGGATGAGAAGCTCTCTCAAGCTACCTATGAACGTCTGGGGCGAGTGCTGGATCAGGTCTTCGACATGCGCATCGAGAAGGGTGACGGCGAGGGCGTCACTTATATAGATGGGAAAAGTTTGGCGGGACTTGGCTGATTCTGCAGAGGCAGAAGGTGTGGTGCTGCCGCATGTTGTCAAGGGCTACTTTGGCTCGCCCGCAAAGCGGTAGTCATGGCTGCAGCTTGTCAGTCATATCAGGAACCGGATGGAAAGGGGCATATAGCTGCCACCCTCCCTCACGCCGGCGAAGCAGGCGACAGCCTACCATGTGGAGAAAGATTACCAGGGGCTCGAGGAAGAGGACTATGAGCCTGAGGAGGAAGGACTTCGACGTGTTCTTTGCAGAAGTTGAGCATTGGACGGAAGAAGAAAGTGAAGAACAGACTTGGAAGCAGACACGAAGCACGGTCAATCAGAATCATGACGATGTTGGTTCGGCGACTCGTGGTTGAAGAAGTTCCACAAACTGGTCCCAACAGTCGTCCAAGAAACAAAAGCAAAGAAGAAAAGGACGCAGGCTTCAAAAACAACTACCAACACCAAGCTGAACTTCGTGTTCATCACCCACCCAGATTCGAGCAAAAGCCCCTTCTACATCAACAGGAGGATGAGAAGGTGTCCTAATGGGCCCTCCCGTCGTAAATCACCCACAGAATAATTTTTCAGAATATGTTTTTTGGAATAATATTTAAACCACCATGTTGAAGTTGGTGTGGGTGGATGGCACCCTGGAATAACATGGTCGGAATTCCTTTGCTGGACACCATGTTGAAGTTGGTGTGGGTGGATAGTACCCTGGAATAACATGCTGGACATTATAACAGACAGTCACATTGCATGCTCACCATATCTCACCATGGCAGCTGGCTCAAGTTCAAAACTTACAATCATAGGGGTACCTCTCCTACAGCATGGCATCGGTGGCATGGGGAGACCCACCGACACAATGTCATGTGGAGGGATGTGCCTTTGATGATTTTAGACTGGAATTTTCGAGGCGCTTTGGAGAGCTGTCAGATCTGTGGAACTGCGAACAAAGTGGCTCGGGCCGTCTCGGGCCAAATGCTCCCCATTGTGTAGGGGTGATCACATCGAAGGGCGGCACTTAAATCTGCTGTCTAGAAGCCTGTGACTTCCAGGACGGCGAGTTCACGCCAGAAGCCAGACCCAGAAACCAAGCTTGGGAACTGTCAGATCAGGGCTCCCAGTAGACAGCCAATTGCTAAATTATTCCAGGGTCTATTACATCAAACCCACCCCTGGAATTATTTTAGTCAATGAAAGAAGCCACACCAAATTCGGCACTACATTCCTCAACTGGTCTCACCAAAACTCGGGAGTAGACCCCAGACCAGGGAATAAGAAACTGTCAGGTCACAGGTCCTGGGTCATAGGGGCCCTAAAAAACACCGTGGTTGTGGATTCTGAAGCTGTGAGATGATGTGAGATGTGTGACCTGAAGCTGCAGATTTGTGGAAGCTCTAAGATTTGTGCCCCAACAGGGCAAGTTTGCCTTCTAGACAGCTAGCTGCTAAAGTATTCCAGGGTCGATCACATCAAACCCAGCGCTGGGATTGTTTTTGTCGTCGGTGGCTCTCATTGCTTGCTGCGTGGACTGAAATAATTCCAGGGGTGGGCTTGATGTGATAGACCCTGGAATAATTTAGCAGTTGGCTGTCTACTGAACAGTGGCCTACAACAGGAGGCAAACTTCCCATTTTGGGGCACATATCTTGCACAATCTACAGCTTCAGGTCACACGTCTCACAGCTTCAGAGTCCACAAGAAAGATGTGGCTGGGGCGCCTATGACCTAGGAGCCCTGATCTGACAGTTCCCAAATTTGGTTTCTGATCTGACAGCTCTCTTTTCTCGTGAGACCAGTTTTCGGAGTCCACAACAAAGATTTGGTCGGGTCGCCTATGACCTGGCCCCCCTGATCTGACGGTTCCTGCCCTGTGTCTACTCCCAAGTTTCGCCGTCCTGGAAGTCACGTGGGGGGTCGCTGATCTGAAAAGTTCAGCCGTTTTGCCGCGTGTTGGATCATTTGATGCGACCGGAAACGAGGAGGAATCAAAACGCAGAAGATCACTGTAGTGAAACTGAACCTGTGTTTTGGAACGCATGTAAGATCACATATAGACTGCAAGGCAGACATGGCTGTAACATGTTGTAAATTATTCCTGAAAGGCGTTCACATATGGATTAATTTTGGCCAGGTGTAGGTCCACCACCACTGAATAATTAGAATAGTATTCTGGGCCCCATCCACCCCAGGGCCCCAGATGGCAAGCCCCATGTGTCCTATCTGTGTGAACCGGTGGGGAATGAGGTCTGCGGTCACGAGAAACGAGCTGCTGGCGTTGGTGGCCGGATGGACGTTGACGGAATGCTAGCTAGAAATCTGAAACGCGGACCACCCGGGCGGTGAAGGATGATGAAGAGATGAGTGTTGGAAGTGGGGAGGACATGCCTGGACTGGCGATACCATTTACTTGAAGGAAGTGAGCCAGCCCCTAGCGGAAGCCCTCAAGGAATCAGGAGTTGGAAGGCGAGGGGTGAGCACATGGACAGCGAGGCGAGACGACGGTGGTAGAGCCGCCTGATGAGGCGAGTGCCTTGCAGTATGGGAGCGGGGCGCTCCGTCTACGCGTCGTCGAACAGTTCTGCAGTTCCGCGTTTGACATCCAAGCGGTTTCTCAAGTGCTTGGGAGCTGCCATAGGGGAAAATAATTTTCACGACAACTCGACTGGCAGCCCCATTCCTCGAACAACAAGAAATCAGTTTGATTGACCTCGAAGAAGCTTCCCAAGGTGAAGGCATGGAGGTGGAATCGGTGCATTTGGATGAGGACATCATTGTGAATGATGGAACGACAGAAAAGCTGAAGTACAGCAACGCACCAGCCACAACAATCTCTTCCAACGGACGGGTGGGGAAGTGACCCAAGCCAACGAACGACTGTTAAAGTCGACGCAGTCTTAGCGCCGCAATTTTTGCAGCGGTTTGCTGACCCGGTCGAAATAAAATGCATTCAAGCAAACCCATGCGACTTATACAAGTATATTCAGCAAGCAAACAATCCTTTAGGATCCTTTGGGCGTGTGAATCAACAAACTTGAGTTCGAGACTCTATACCTATATCCACTTCCGACCACTACTACACCGAGAACTAGCACTTCTCCACAGAATCAAGACTTTTCAATCATCTCATCCCACACCCTCATCCTAATCACCTGGCCAGTCTGACCAGAAGTCTGCTAAACCTCTCCACTATTCTCCACTATAGAATCACCAAAAATCTTCAGCCCGCGGTGAACCAGCGCCTCTCCCCTGTAGAATCAAGACCCTCACGTTCAAAGATCTCTCCCCACACCCTCACCCTTAAAAGTCCTTACCCTTGCCTAATTTCCTGTGAAATCTTCACTCTTCCCAAGTTTCTTCACGTTCAAGAGGTCAAAACAACATGGAGACCTCGAGCAGGGTTGCCATTCATTATACAATGGCCTCCCCGGGTATGCGCCTACATTCCAAGGGCGGCCAACCTTCCGATTGTGTTCTCCCATGAGAGTGTTCAAACCGGATCTCACTGCAAAATGTTCTGATTGCATTCAATCCGGTTGAAATTTCTGAAACCGATATTCTCCGATTGCTTTCTCCGACGAGTTGAGTTTGCCCACCGATTTTTGTTGCGATCGGGTGAGGTGTCCTGGGAATATGGTCCATCCGATCAGATGCGATCTGAACATATTCCGGTGAGACATAAGATTGTAAACAAAACTCATCGCAGAACTTCATCGGGCGTTTCCCATGTCATCGGAGATGTCATCACAAAGTTGATCGGAGATGGATGGATGGATGGATGGATGGATGGATGGATGGATTTTGTTAGGATCTACAGCAAAAAATCGCTGATTCTATAGAGAAACTACTTTCTAGCATGCATTTTTGGACAAGTGCCATGGCAACCTGGAACCTTGATTCTATAGAGATTTGATTTTCCTTTATTTGGAACCTGGCGACCTTGATCCTATAGAGTTTGAACCAGGGGGTCGCTGATTTATAATATAGTTATTATATAACTATATACTTATAGAACGGTAATACCTGGGTATTTACCCAAATTGTAAAGAATTAAACTCTAAATGTGTACATTCAGTATATGTTTGTGACTTTGGCCTTTGCTCATTGCTGGCCCACCATGTGTGTGTGTATGTTCACTCGGGCTTCTCACAGCGCCCACCGACTTTGGGTTTTTGAGATTTGACGTGGACAATCTAGTGAACAGAGTTTGCTTGTCATTGTCTGAACTTTGAACATGATTCATGATGCCTGCAGGAATCAGTCCTTGGATGGTCATGTGTGGGGGTTCCTGCCCCTCGAGAATATCATTGGCCATGCCCCTAACTAGTACAATTGTGTGTGTGTGTTCTCGATGTGCCACGTTCTTCCTCCTCCTTTGTTGCCAAGGACGAGCCACCTTCAAGTTTTGGCCTCCTTGGCACATAGGGACTATCACCGCCGCTCCTCCCTGATATTTCACCTGCAGTTGAGCCTCAGGTCAACAAAATTGTACATTTCGCACCGATTTTGTGTCTTTTTAATGGAGTGTGGAATACCACACCGTTGGGAACAAACCAATGGTGTGAATTTGTTTGTATATATGGATTTGCGTTTGGAAAAAATGTCTGATTTGTGTCGCCCGCAACATGTGTTCTTTCGAATGGGGAAGAAAAGAAGTTCTTTTACAAAGGCGGATGTTTTTCCTTTGCAGTTCACGGAGATGTTTTTCCACATGCCGCGTGCCAGGTCCAAGCTCCCGACTTGGAGCTGGCAAACTAAGTGCCCCAGTGTGGCTGCCCCAAGCTAGGAGTTGTCAAGGTGTTGCTCTCGCCTTAGCCAGTGCACACTCCAGGTCACTGAGACCGGGAGGCTCACTAGCACCAACAGTTTCAGGCGTCCCAGACGAGCTTGATTTGGGCGTAGTAGAGTCTATAATATGTATATAGCATGTTTTGTTGCCTCATGAAGGTGCAGCAAAGCCGAAAGAGCCTAAAGAGGCATTGACAGAGCCTGTGTGAGTGTAGTAGAAAAGAGACCTGCTAAACTTGTGTGCAGGAACTGCCAGAGGAGGGGCGCTCGGTGAGATATTTTTTCGAGTTGTGTTGCTTTGGTTCCTGGACTATTTTTTTGGGCGCTGCTGTATCCTCAGGAACTTCCACAAGATCAAGAGAGTTGCCTGTGGTCTCGTTCCCAGTCTTTTGTTCAGTCTTCAAAGGCATTGAAAAGTTCCAGTAGACTCTGACACTGTCAATGCATTTGGTTTCATAACTACATTCATATCGTACAACAAGCATCCTTTCTTTCATATGAGAAGCATGTTGTCAAGACAAGAGCTGACATGTTAGCTTGCCAGCAGAGATGTTGTTCGATTGTGAACCAGGGGCCGTATTGTGAACGTCTACGGTGGTTTCGGCTTCTTGAAGCAGCTTGGTGATGCCGATGCACAAGACATTTTCTTCAGAGCTGCAGATGTGATAGGCGCGAAGTCAATGCAGGTTTTTGGAATCATGCCAGTGGTTTGGTACTGACTGATACTTCATCACCTAGCTGTTGGCTTCTATTTGAGTCAAGTGGCGACTCCTTGGCGCCGAGTCAGGACCAAATCCTTGCTGTCTATGTTTGCTAGGCATGAACTCCCTCGACCCAGGCAGTCCATCAACGGAGTGCCAAATACTTAGAATGAAGCAACTACCCTGGTTGCTTTGGTTGATCATTCTGTCGAGGTCTGGAAATTGTGCTTGCAAACACGAGGCATGGATCGTCAGTGGTGTCCTGAGCATTTGGAGTCATGATCAAGCTTTTCCTAGGAATGCAAACGGGTTCAAGAAATTCTACATCAACTTGGAAGACGAAGTCTCCTTTGTGATGTCCAAGGAGGGGTGTAAACTTGTGGGAGGGAAGCCCCGGTCCATAGTGGCGTCATTTCCAATCAAACAGTGAGAAATGATGAGACACATGATGTGCGACCATCGCTGCGTACAGGACCACACTGGAAAGCCATGCGCAGCTGCGGTGATGAAGGTTTACTCGAGCAGTGGGATTCAGACTCAAAGTCTTCATGATGTTGAAAGAACTTACACTTACACAATACCCTGCGTGCCAAAGCAGGCAACTTCGGAACTGCAGTTTAAGAGAGGTCAACAATCTGGGAGCAACGATCGAAAAGGATACTTCCAAGTGGGGTGTTGACCTTTTTAGGCGCGTGGGCCCTAGCAATACTTTGTTGTCTCAAGCGACCTTCAAAGCGCAATGCGTCAGAGCAAATATTGCACTGGATTTCCTTGATCCCACTGCAAACACTACCGTCACAGCTATATAAAGGATGCGAGTCGGCACTGCTCACCGGCGCTGCTGGGCCGCGTGTTTTATGAGTACTCAATCAAGCAAGAAGACAGTGAAAATTGATACACCAAAGCACATCAAGGAAGCCCTTTCGAACAGAAGAGCCGGCGAGTTTCAGGATCCATTTATGCAACCATGTTGAATCAACGAAAAGGTTTTTGAGTCAGCTTGAGTTCCCTTGCTTTCACAGTAAACAAGCTCAAAGCCACCAGCCTGACAAATCTATGCGTTGCCCTTCTCAGCATCTTGTCAATATTTCATCCCAGGCGAGCACAAAGGCGCAGCTACTGTGAAACTGCCTGGCCTCGTTCCCTACACCTCAACCCTGTCCAGTTTGGGTCAGTCCTCAAAGGGTCGCGTGGGTTATGGACTGTGGACAGTTAGAGATGTTAGAGCCAACTTGCTTCAACATGATGGGGCTTGCGTTCGCCACAGAGGGAAGCAATGGTGAATGATGGTGCATGTCATAGCCCATAGCTGATTCGGCGTCTCGTCCTGCCTTGCACTCGTCGTATAGGGCCGGTGGATGCCGGTGGATTGGCATGATTTTTTTGCCCGTCTCCACTGCTTGCCATTAGCATGGCGAAGTCCCCTTGCTTTCACGGGTGCAGGAACGAAAGGGGGGCTTGGCGGAGCAGTGCCGGCCGTCGGCGCATTGGCGTCAAGGATGTGAAGAAGGAGACGATGAAAGACCAGGCATTGGAGACAATGAGCCAAGTGAAAGGCAAGCAATGACAAGCGATACGCCCTCCAACCTAATAGCGATGGCCTCCACCTAATAGCTTCTTGTTACTACAGGTGAAACGATTCCCAAGAACCTTGTTTCATTTTGGTTCTTAAGTGTTGCTTCAGGGTGAAGCGCATCGCCAACATTTGTCAGGTCAACCGTCTCACTGCGATGGATACAGACCAGGCATTTCTGAAGGGACTTGCGTACGGAGCGTAACAGAAGTGTGCGAATGTATTTGTGACATGGGGTGTGTTGAAGCAGAGTTGGTGCCTTTGGCAGATCCTACAGAATGCAACGCTCTTCAAAGAAATGTTGGACAGCCTTGGCCCCACAATGCGCCATGGGAACATGTTTGCCATCATTGCCTTCAGACCAGTCCGCAAACAGCGACATAGGGTCCTAAGATGTACTGGAGCTTTCAACAGTTAATTTGAAGGGGAGTTGGTCGTGTGTGGTGTTCGTTTGTGTAGTGCAGTATAGTCAAGGCTATAGAGGCGACTATTTAGTCTACTTGTTCAAATGCTGGCATCTATAGGATCTAGTAATCTAGTATTTAATCTGTTGATAGACTATAGATAGCCTTTGGCAGCTGCTTTTGATACTGGTTCAACCGTTGCCGTTCTTGTCAATGCCAGAGAGCCGCACCTTTCACTGGTCAACAGCAACTCATGGTGCCGTTGCCACACACAGACCCCTGAAGGGCGCTATAGCGATCCTTCCACACTCTCCGACTCCTGTTCTGCTTGAAAAGAGCACCTTCACGGCATGACAAGGTGTCTGTGAGCTACGAACGTCAGCATTTGGTCCTTCGCCACCAGAGTCTCCGTTACATTGAATTGGGAACTCATCTACGAAGGCACTACTACAGTATGTGTTAGACTGTCACTAGCTGAAAAGGGCCAGGGCTTGAAGGTTCATTGTGTCCCTTTTGCATCGCTAAGCTTCAACCACGGGCTGGTATGCAACCTGCCTACCATTGTGTTGCCACGTCAAGATTCGAGTATTGTTCCAAAGGTCCTTTTTGCTCTTCCGTTGTGTGAAGAAGCAACACATGCCACATGCGCTACATGTTCGTGTCCCTGCAGGTGTATACACTGCACTGTAACTTGTAGCGATGGCCTCCAACAACCTTAAGTTTCCCTAAAAGTCTAGGAACCAAAACATTAGTGTGAGCGCTTCTTCAAGGAAGCGTGAGCTATCCTGCGTCCAGCAGTTCGTAGCTACCTAGCTATTACTACTAGCTACCTATCTAGCTAGCTACTACCTACCTCTGCTCACGGCCTACCCCCCCGTCCTTTAAAAGAAGATAGCAATTGACATCACAAAACCTCGTGTTGGTAAAGTCCGGATTTCAGATCACCAAGGTCCTGAGTTTGACGGAATTCACTTGTACAAAGTGGTGTCAATGCTGGCATCCAAGGAGAGAGTTTCGGAGAAGATCCTTTGCATGACTTGTGTCAACTTGCATACATGTTTGCTTGAAACCTTTTTAATCCTTTTTAGCTCAACCCCCTCGTCCTGTTTTTCTGAATTGACTTGCACAAATTCATTGCTGACGGCAGGACCTGCTGGAAGACACTCGGGCGGACCGTATCTACCGCCTCTTTTTGGAATCAAGCGCCGTACAAGTTGGGGTCCTTTGAATCAGGCTTGTCGGAGCGAAGTCGGTCGGTGGATCCTAATCAGGCATGCCTGCGGACAACAATCATCAAGCAGGGAGCAGGCAGATTTCGTTAGCCTTTGGGGTCCATTCCGATGTAATTGTGAGCAAACCGAAGAACTTCAGAGGCTGTTGTTGCTTTGAGGTAGGCACAATGGAAATTTTCTCGAGGACTCACACAGATTTACACTCTCACCGTGCTACGCCGGCCATTTTCCTTTCCAGGAGTGCTTGAAGGTGATTGTTGAGATTGTCATGCGAAGCCCAGCCTCGCAGGAGCCAGAGGTTACAGGCTTTCACACACTTTCTACAATGTGTTTGTCTTGTTTGTGTGTTCTTCAATGTTTACAGATTTGTCTCAGCATTCTCTGGAGGAGTTGCGGGGACAACTTCCTCTCGTGGAACTTGTTGAAGTGCCAATCCTCCCCACATTGCGATATGATAAGCTCTGTTGTGTTTGAAGTCTTTGACGCAGGACAATTTATTGCGGCTCAGTCTAGAATCTAGAAGTTGGTGTTGACCCAGGCAAGGTAGTGACACAGCAACATAAGACAGTACTGGCGAAGAAACACAACTAGTAGTCGAGACTCGTTGCTATTGCACTAGACTACATTGCACTATATAAATACTGTATTCATTTTGCGGGGAAGGGCTTGCAAATGCTTTGTTTGCGCCATGCCGCTATGCCATGTTGGCGCGCGCACACAGCATGGAGGTCCTGTTCGTGCTTGATGGGCTGGTTTTTCTTATGTTTGTCAATGTTAAAGACTTGATGCGGTGCTGTTCGTTTGCGCAGTATTTGGTTCACCAGATACAGTTGACAAAGGAGCTTGCGTGTCCAGGCATCCAATCGTAGGACAACATGGAAACAACAATTTCTCTTTCAAGATTGTGGGCAACGTGCTACTTTGGCAATGTAGCAATGCCTATGCTGCAACGGTTGCCGCTTCTGTTTGCAGCAGGGAGCTGAGGATGGGAACAGAAATGACACAGACACACCTGGGAAGGAGCTTGTAAGAGCATACAGTAAGTTCCGGGTGGCACCAAGAGGGCATTAACACTTTACGATCTAGTTACTGCATTAGTGCAAAACGACCTGTCCTGGACCTGTCAACGGCCATGTGCAAACCGCAACCCGAAAAAGCCCGGAACAGTATTGTTAAACTCATCTTTTCATACAGCAGATGCACAAGGTGGCGTTCCACATTGCTTCAACACGAGCTGACAGCATCTTCGTTGGGTAGTGCCTGTCAGTCGTGCACTACCCCCTTTCTGTGGTCTCACTGCAATGAATTATGTGTCAATCAGAGGAAGTATCCCGGAAAGTCAGTGAGTCTCCTGGACACGGGGCGTGACACACACACACACACATAGCCATAGCCTTATCGGCGCTCGGTGGGAAGAAGAAGGTCCAAAAACGGGAGAGAAGAAAATAGTGACGCACCGTGCCCTACAGGGAGTGCATGCAGAATATGTGAAACATGCAACGCGCGAATTTTATTCGCTGTGCGGCGTGACGTTGCTGAGGTGAGCTACATACAGGTCAATGAGGGAGTTCTCCCTGAACAGGATGTTGGAGGTTGGGTAGGTGTAGTTGCGGATGGTCCCAGGGAGATGGTCATCGTCAACGTGTTCAAGGGGTGTTCGTAAAGGGTGGGGGTAGCAATTGTGGCAAGAGGGCGATGTGTGTTGCACAGAGTTCGTTGGTAAGGATGAACTGATTGATTGTAAATGTAGCGGGCGGAGAGAAAGCTAAATGAGGTTGTTGAAGAAATGTTTGATGTACTTCTTGCCATATGTGCTCAATCAATGCGGTGGCTACATTGCATAGTGCCAGGGATAGTTGTGAGCCTATCCCGGCGCCCCTGATCTGCTTGTAAGTGCTAGCACAGGCTGTGAAGATGCAGGAGTCAAGGGTGTGCTGGAGGATGAGAGTTGTGGTGCAGGAGTGGAAGAGTCGACAGGTGGGATGGCATTGTGGACTGGTAGTGGGGGAAGTAATGGACAGCGAGGCGGAGGATGTGTTGAGTGGGAAAAAGTGTTGCGTGGTGCCAATCATCGGTTGAGAAACTGGGTGATGCGGCGCAGGGCTGGTCTGGGCATAATGCGTAAAATAAGCCGGATGTTGTGGCCAAGCAAAGGTCATGGCAGCGAACAGTACTCCGGAGCGAATCAACGTGAGAAACGCAGACTTGGTGAGGGCTAGAAAGGCAGGGTGGTAAGAGCTAGAAAGGCAGGGTGAATGCTGTCAAAACTTGTGAGAGAACATTTCGGCTCAAAATGGAAAACAATGTGGAATTAAAACTTCAATTGGAAAACAGGGAAATGTCAAGAATGAAATGACAGTGAGCTCTGCAGCTGCAATGCGGGATGTAACCAATAAGCTCTGTATAAATCAGAAGTGCAATGGTGAAACGTATCGTTCTCTCCTTGCGACGGAGTGGATTCTGCAAAACAACGAGGGATCACGCAACATACCGCAGTGGGAAAATGCTGCGACTCACACTTGGGAAGGAGTTCGTAAGAGCATAAGTTCCGGGTGGCACCAAGAGGGCATATCTAGTTACTGCATTAGTGCAAAACGACCTGTGCTGGACCTGTCAACGGCCATGTGCAAACCGCAACCCGAAAAAGCCCGGAACAGTATTGTTAAACTCATCTTTTCATACAGCAGATGCACAAGGTGGCGTTCCACATTGCTTCAACACGAGCTGACAGCATCTTCGTTGGGTAGTGCCTGTCAGTCGTGCACTACCCCCTTTCTGTGGTCTCACTGCAATGAATTATGTGTCAATCAGAGGAAGTATCCCGGAAAGTCAGTGAGTCTCCTGTTTCCAGTGACACACACTTGAGATATTGTGTACAGAACTGATTGCGGTTTCCCACGCGCCAGCTTAAGTAGAAGTCCTAAGAGTCCAAAGAGACCTGAAAGTAGTAAGTGCTAGGTGGAGAGGCATCTCACAACATGAGTTCCTGCAAGTCTGCCGAGTTCATTAGCACTTTGTGTCGACCTGGTGTACCTGGAAACAGCCTGGGCAAGGGAGAACCATTGGAGTCAGTGTGTTCCCAAGCAGGTAGAGGATAAAGCGTCCTTGATCTGTGATCATAGCTTCGTTGCGCGCACTAGATCACAAATTCTGCACACCCCTGCTAAAAATCCAAGTCAAAAAGGAAAAGACTCGGTCCCCTCTGAATCCAAGGGCTTTACACACAAACATGTGCAGGCTTGACTCCACACTTCTGAAGAACTCTGCCCTTTTTTTGCCTAGCCAAGATCCATCCAATAGAAGCGAGAAGATGCGTGGCGAGACCTTCCGACACTGTCAAGAGTCAAGAGTTTCCTAATGTTTCTTCGAGGGAGGCCGCAGCCATAATCCTCTCCATCCTGTTCCCACAATGCCACGGCACGGAAAGTGCGTCAAAGCCAGCAATCCGAACCAGGCCTTTGTTTTTGGAACACTGCTTCTTGCAGCTTGTGGAGGGGTTTTGGGCAGAGAAACCATACGTTCCACCGCAACTTACCTGGAATGGTGAATGGTGTCACGACATGAGGCCCGGAGTAACCTACCATTGAGAATTTGTAATAAACAGTACATGTGGTACACAATCCTATTGCACAGAGTTTTTTGAGATATGCTGAGATGATCTAAGATTACATTTTTGACCTTGGTCAAACAGTGAAGGTTTCGTAGAAAACTGTGACACTCAGGTATCTTCAGACGCACAGGTCAACATGTCTTCCAGCAGTTGGACTTTGAAAGATCCAGATAGCTACGAGGCGGTTGAATGTTGTTTCATTTCACATTTTATTGCAGTTAACAAGAGCAGGCCATGGTATTTCTCCCGCCAGAGCACAATCAGCTCAACAGAAAGCGAATGCCCACAGACAACATCGAAACCAAGGAGACCAAGTATCCCTTGCTGCTCTATTTGCACGGAGCTGGTGAGATGAGAGGTGAACTAAGCGACATCATCTCAGAGGCGGATATCGAGAATCATCGGGACCAAAAGGAAGAAAAGGAAAATGTCAGGAGATGTGAGGATAAGAAAGGAAGTTGTTTTTTCCTTTTGCTTCGGTGTGAGGATGTGCAATGCAGCAATGCATTTGCAAAAATTATATCTGCAGTCCACTGTTTACATACAATTTCTTTTCTTTTGCCCGCATCCACCTCTGCCATCGCAACTACGTACATGCCAAAACACAGCCTGTCAAGCGGCCCCCTGCTCTTGGACTGGCGGTGTAGTACCAACAGCAGGAAAGAAGGATCAATCTCATCCTCGTCTTTCATGTTATGAGATTGAGATTGATGGTGGATAGAGCTCAGTGAACGATCAATAATTTGACAATTAATTGCAGGAAAGGGAAATACAAGATGTTTGATCACGGGTGTTCATTGTCATGCACTGGGCTCACTTCTGGCAAGCTGCCATTGAGGAAGATATCCATGGTTGCCGCATGTTGGCACTCGTTCTATAGAAAAGATACAATTTCTTTGGCTAGTTTCTGTTTGTATTCGGCACCAATCAAAGAAAGCACAAACAACCGCCGGATCTTCCTTAGAACCATTAGAATATACACGTATCGGTGCTTATACGTGCTTACTAAGGCTTACATGTTTTCACTCATTCAGTTTTATCATCATTGCACAATACCAGGTATTGTTTGGACCTGGACCGGTTGAACCACGACGTTGCTTTGAGTGCTCCGACGCTTTGATCACCTGTGGTGACACGCGACCGCGAGAGATCCAACCAATATTCAGTTGTTGGTATGGGTCGTATGGATTTCAGTCCTCCAAAGCGGCGAATTACGCTGCGTACAATATCGCCCATCAAGCAAGAGGTGGCTGCCAAAGGGTTGACCCGCCACCGGTAAAAGCAAAGATTTGCAACACCTCACCAGTGATACGCCGACCACCGCACCAACTTACCAACTGTGAAGAGTACCACCTCAAACCTACCACCGCACCTGCGGCGCCCCATCAGCTGTACGAACCTATGCTGACAACGCGAGTGGTGAAAATGTACCAGCCCACCAGCGATCAAAATGTACCACCTTAGCAGTGTCGGCATAAAACTGTTGGTTTAATGAAATAGCAAATCAGACTATTTCAAGAGCTGCACTCATTGGAAGAACATGATGCACCGCCAGCAGTGTAAGTGAAAAAATGCGTCCGTTTGGTAGCCAAGCTTAAAGCAAAGTGCTTCCCGTAACTTTTGGGCACGAAGTGCACAGCTTGAGAGGTAGATTTCATGTGCTGAACACGTGTTTAACAAGCTCTTTGGGCTTTTGATGGCCTTCGTGTTTGTGGTATGTTGCAATCAGATGCGGTTTGTAAATTAGTGCATTAGTTTGAACGCTTGCTGATTATAGTAGAGACACGATCAGATTGTTGGCAAGCTTCCACTGCAGGGAGCTACGGGCACTCCTCCTGTAGAATTGGCCTTTGGAAGAGCAGCAAAGACTTTGTCGGAACGTTGCCTCGAACAACATACATTCCTATGGGCCTCTCTTGTGCTAAAATCTGTCGAATGTAATATTGTCTAACACGTCCCAAAATGAAGCAAGACCATGTCTAACAGAGTCTAACATGTCTAAAGTCTACACATGTTTAAACACGTTCAAGTATTTTTTGTGAGGTTTTTAGAGCTCTTGAGACAAGTCTTTGTGCGGGCTTTCACGCTTTCGCCTTTTGTGGCTCATGAATGCGAGGC